AGCAAGTTTTATGCAGCAAACTGAGTTTGTTATTTGGCCTAAATAAAAGTAATCGACACCGTAGGCAGAGAGCTATCATATCGACATAATGGGGAAAAAATAAAATACGGAAGAATAGAATACATTTCTGCAGAGGTCTGAATTAATCCATCCAGCCGAAGCTCTAAAAAAAAATTATTGGTCGAATTGCGGATAGTCAGAAATTTTGCGGATAATTTTTTCTGTTTGAGTTTGGCAAGCTCTCGATAGGTTTCCTGCAGCCTGTAGAAATTCCAGAGATATCGTCTTTGAAAATATAAAAAGCATAAGGGAAATTTTGAACTTCATCTCCTTTATCCTATAACATTACCTCAGGAATTGACAAAATTTAACCGGATGATATTACATACTACAGTAGCTATGATAAATGCGAAAAGCTGGAAAACATTAATAAAATGATAACATTATTGAATTGTTTTCCACGAAGTCGCGAGCACCTAGATTCCTAGTGATTGAGTTCCGGAAAGCTTGCCATTTACTTGCGATTGTTTGGGAATAGTGTACTTGAACACATTTTTATACATAAATAAATGATGTCTTTTTCAAAGCATTAAGTTAAAGTAAAGAATTTTTTTATGAATTAAGTTTTTGAAATGTGGGAAACAAAAGTAAAGAATTTGATTCGTTTCGGACAAGTCAAGCATTCAATTTTTTTATTTTTTGTCCTTACATTTTTTGAATTAATTAAATCAAATTCATACAAATGCGTTGTTAAATCTTAAGTGACCCAGAAAGAAATAACATTAGTATATTCTTGTCCTATTACAGCTTATTAAATATCACGATACATAAAATATACGTAAGTAAGAGGAAGGAAAAAAAAAACATTTTTTTTTTCATCAATTTCTTTATTTGCTAATCCTGCGCAATGAAGTAAGAAAATCCTATATTATGCTGCTGAACTAATTTTTTTTTACAAATGCCTTTTTTCAATTATTTTCCTTAGTAACGCTAACGATGACTAGAACCAAAAAAAAAAAAAAAATGTTATTTAGATTTTTAATTTTCCCTCTTCACTTTCTTTTTTAAAACATTTTAAAAAAAAAAAAAAAAAAAAAAAAAGGGTCAAATGAGAAAAAATGTTCGTGGCTTGTTTAAATTTTGATGAAAAAGGGCTACTGTATCGACTTCAGGAATGATGCTTCCAACTCTTTCCGCTCCCCCCTACCAGAGGCTGGTTAAATGGCAAAAAAAAGAAAAATTTATAGAATTTTATTTATTCTTTTAGTATTATGCTACACAGCACTCGCTTTATCTGACTCCGTCATATATGAATATAACTGATATCTTGTTTTACTATCTTGAACACAAGGGGAAAATTTCATAATTTTTTTTCCAATGTATTTCTAAGTTTGATCATACGGCATATGGACGAATAGAAAATCCAGCAAAAACTTACGCTGATCAGAGAGATATCAAATTTTTATGTCTCTTGACATTGTTGATTTCATTTTTTTTTTTTCATTTGAAAAGTATAAATATCGCTTACAGTAACTTCTCAGCCAACTTTTCAGTAATATATGTCGAAACTATAAAATAATATAAAGAGAGAGCAAAAAAAAAAAAAAAAGGAATATTGACAAGTAAGATATGTAAGTACAACCCCATTTGTACCCAAGCATGTACAACATTTTTGCATTAAAGTAAAGCGTCTTCCTTGCTATGTTGTGCGTATTGTTGAGCTGGAAGCCCTACAAAAAAAAAAAAAAAAAAAAACGAAACTTTCTAACAATATTTTTTGTAGTTCAACTCTAGAGATTTAAAAAGTGGGATGCACAATAAAAACTTTGCGTTTTACCTTTTGCTTTGCCGACAACCTTAGTGTTTGTAGAATTAAAAAAAAATAATATATTTTTTTTTTTTTTGGTTTTTTGTCAAGTGTTCTTAAACATTTAAAGGAATATTTTTAAAAGTTTTCAATTCTAAGAAGAAGCGCGTATAAAATTTTAATTTGACTCATTTAACTGAAGCACCGCAATATCAACAAGCGAACAAGCGTGCAAAACGAAGAAAAAAAAAAGGAGAAGAGCATAAAATATTCCTTTAAGTTTTTTTTTTTTTTTTTAAGCTGAATATCATAACCTGCTTTTTTTTTTTAATTTTCTTTTATTTAGAATAACATCCATGCTATACCGTTCTGTATTCTTTTCACTTGTTTGCGATTATATTGTTTGTCATATTAGATTTAAAGGCAAATGCCATTAGCCGTAACTAGGAAGAAAAACATAATGAGTTTATCCATTGTTTAAGACTTCATTAAAAAGTTAATCCATTCTAAAGTCGAGAAAGTATCTAGGTTTTTTTTTTTTTTTTTTTTAAAATGCATGCTACTAAATTAACTTTAATATTCATTCATTTAACTTGGAAGCGAGCATAAGAATTCTCTGTGAACATGCAATGGTTAATGCGAAAGAATTTTCTGAAATTGTACTTGTTGAAGAGAAATGTTGGAAAAATTGTTTTCGAAAATTTTTATGAAAACCAGTATATAAGAATGCGTATGATGCTATGAGCGCATCATTTCAACTTTAGTTTATCTAATAAATTTGCCCGTAATAATCTTTGCTGACTAGTAGTAGTGCAAAAACTTATGAGCTTTGTTAAATAAAATCCCTTTAAAATGCAGATGAAGGCAAACATTTTTTCTGAACAAGATCTGTTTAAAAAAAAAAAAACATTTTCCCATAAAAATGTATTCCTGCATTCTGGATAGCAGCATGTTTACAATTTCAATTAATTAAAAAAATTATTTTCATATATACATTTATTTACAATCGATTTATATCCTTGTGGTACTTGTGGTAAAGGATATATTTAGATTGTGCGAACGTCTGTAACACCCAGCACAAGTTGAGGTAGATCCATCGTTTGTTATGCCGATCGATTCAATTCCCCTTTGCTGGGTCGGTCGATCTAAGCTTGTCTGTTCGCATGTACCCTTCTGTACATGTAGTTTTGTGTATTATTATCAAATTAATATGTTGGCTTGGGAAAAAAATTGCAGTTTTCAGAGGATTCCAAGACGAATTTTTAGAATCCAAACACAATAGATTATAGGAACATACATATTGGCCAAAATTGAAACGTATAGTTGGAAAATAAAATAATTTTCATTGATCACGAATTTTTATTGTCAGCATATTCAATCTTACCAAACAGTCGTGATGTTGTAGCGGTGGAATTACTAACTTAGCTCTTTTAGAACATATAACAATAATATTGTTGTATTGTTAACATAACAACACTAACAAGCAATCGTACATAATTGCTGCAATTATTAGTGCATATGGTTAAACTAATTATGCGTAAATTATATCTCTCTTCCAAAACACAGCTTTGGTGTGAATTTAATTTGCATTAAATTGCCACTTTTTCCTAGTCGCTTATTAATTGCTTGGCAATCATTGCTTTAAAAAAACAATGCACAAAATGAAAAAACTAATGTTAATTTTATTAACACGCAATTTTTTTTTTTTTATAATATTGACATGTAAAAAAAAACACTACAGCGGGACACTACTATTAGACACTCTACGCCAGTTTGCTTAATACTTGTATTCGGCTTGTAACGGCTTCAAAATAACCTATTATATGGCGTATGGTTAAAAATGTGGTCCGATTCGAGCAATTTTCAATGGCGTCAGTCCTTGGGCCAAAATATGCTTGCGTACCAAATTTCATCAAAGGTGTCAAAAATTGTAGAAATTGATTCGGAATCGATCGATATAATAAAAGGCAGATCTATCTCAAATCCTTCCGGGTGTTGTACGCATCAACAAATATTTAATATACACCTACATGACAACAAGTAGGGTATAAAAATGTAACTTCATGTCGAGATATCAACTTTTTAAATCTTTTCATATAAAAGACATGAAAGAGCTACATAAACCCGGCGGTTAGCAAAGCCTGCTTGCCTTCCACTTTTAACGGTTTACGTCCATTATTAGTGAATAAACTTGTAATAATTTGCAAAGGAACGTGGAGAACAGTCAACGAGCCAGTCATTTGTCTAGACAAATTCAACTTTCAAAGTTTAAAATAGGGTACTTCACACAACGATCAATCTGTTTAGCTTTAACAGTATGTACAAATGTAATACAAAGAAATCTGCAGACAGAAATACAGATAATTATGATGACGAAAGATACGCGTATGTTATCTAAAGAATATAAATTATTAATATTAATATTAGCTGATACTTAGATAATAGACATTAAATAGACAGACATTAACTAAATTATTATACATATATATGTATACATATGCATTAATATACATGTATAGGCAAGTAAGTCACGCCTAATGTAATAAATAAATTTGTAGAGAAGAGTTTTTTCTAGTCGTTGACGTATTAACAACTCAAAGTGTACTCTTTAGATTATTCATACGCCACATATATGCATTTAACTATTGTGTTATATGCAGACGCTGTCTTGAAAATGAATACATGACCTTTTGATAATCAAGTTAGTTAAACTATGCACACACATTAATGTTATTGCGTTCATGGGAAGTCGAGATATGAAAGTATTACATATATACATATGTATATGTATGTTTACGTAAGTAAATGTATATATTTAGACTTTATCTTCTCTCTCTCGTCTTCGTCTTGCCTTTTACAATTCTAAATATACTTAAAAAGGATTTTTGCTTGTAAAACACGCACATTCTATTACAACGTAACGTAATAAAGGAAAAAAAAAATATCAATTGAATATTAATAATGATTCGCAAATGATTGCTTGCTTTATTCTTGCTTCAATGGTTGGCTTTCAACAATTCTAATCGATTGGTAGGCAAGCAAAGTAGCGGTTTTAAAAACGTTAAACCTTTTTTTCTATTTTCTATGAAAGTTTTGAAAGTATAATGTGAACGTAGAGGTGAACTGTACTGTTTACGTTCATGTGTGTGTGTGTGTGTATTTGTTTATTTATATAACTTAACGCAAGACTTACCCTGAGTTGAGTGGGAACCACTACCTTTCGATGTACTGTAATTATTGTTTAGCGAATTGAAAAAATTCGCCGCTCCAGTACGTCGTAAAATCCAAAACATTTTCCTTCTCTTAGTTATTGCTTAGTTTACTTGTTAAGAATATTTTCAAGCTAACTATTATTGATATGTTGCATAAAAGTTGGACTTATATTAAAGACTACTCATTATCTTCACTCTTCGAAATATCGAGAGTTTCTTTTTTTCCTTATTTCACATATAAATTTTTCTTTACGATAATTGCTTTTACTTAAACAAAAAAACCTATAAATTTTTATTAGATTTCCACGTAGAGGTAACTTTAATTATATTTCTCTTCATCGCATTTTTCTTGTTGGTTGTAACAACCGATTTTGAAGTGAGAAACAAATAAAGTAAAGCGAAGTGCATATCATCTTAATTAAGCAAATTTTGGTTTCCCATGACTGTACAAAAAAAAGTAACCTTTATTTATTAAAGATTTAACAAAAATTACTTAGTACAATGCGAGGCATTAGATTAAATTGCGAATTATTTACCGTAAAAGTTATCGCGTTTTAGAAAGATTTTACTTAATTTTTCCTGTTTTTTTTTTTTTTCTCTTTTTAGATTGTAAAATTTCTCTTCGTCCAACGAATGCAATGAATGACTGAATTCAAAAACAGTCCCCAGATAAAATTAAAATAATGTTTCGGTTTGTTAAACACGACAATTTAAAAAAAGAAAATTACACCGTGAACGAACAGCAAACTTAAGCTTCCCTGTGTCTTTCCGAAAAATGATAAAACGATCAATCCGGATTGATTGTGAATATGAAAAAAACAAGAACCAAGTGAACTTTTGGGGAAACTAATATACAAAGTTAAGAATATCACCGTTTAGTTCAAAATTGGCACCAAAGGATTTACGTTTGCTCTTATATGTAAAAGAGAGCAACGAGCGCGAACCACGTTAGAGAACGAGTGATACATTCAACGCTGTTGTTTTAAAGGTAAGATATTTCCTTGTACATTTTTATATGAAAGCTTGTTTTATCTGTATTGCGGTCCAGACGAAAATACTTTGAAAAATAGAAAAAACTTTTATATAGCTAAACATTTCTGTTAATTTTTTGCGGACTTTTTAGATACGTAATTCAGATAAGGCTTAACCTTAGTGCTTTTTATTCGCCTGTACAGCTCTCTCTTCTTCTTTTTTTTTTTTATTACTGAAAGTAGATGAAGGTATACAAGGACTATAAAAAATATATGTATATATAGTAATTTCCAAGAAATACGTATCAATAATTTCTGCTTGCCTAAACTAAAAAACAAACTGTTTACCTATTCATCGATTTGTTATTTATTTATTATAAAATAAAATGCAAATGCTTGAAATTGGTATCGAAACAACAAATATTGTTAATCCATAACGTATATTAAACAATCTCTTCATGCATTTGAAAACACTTTCTCTAGCATATTATATATCGTACGCTGCATTCGACTGAATATAGAGCTTAATGCAATTTACTTGCTATGCAAACAAACAATTTTACTCAGGAAAACAGCGGTTGCTCAATTTGTTCAGATTATTTATTATGTACGCACGCGGTGTTTCTCATTATTCGTTTTTCGCGGATGATATGTCTCACTCAAATGACAACAAATTCGAGATTGAGCTTACGTTAAATATTCCAAACACTGCAATTTATATGTAAATGGCTTCCAGCATTGTTTTAAAAGTCAATGCAAGCATTTTATACGCATATACTAATCTTGAAGAAGGCTTTTGGGTACATTGCATAAATTCAAAAGGCTAAATATTAACGGCCGACTTTTGGAATCTTCGAAAGTAAATTTATACTTTTTCAATTTAATAGCTCACTTTGATAGCTCATAATGCATCTCATTGAAGATTACGCAGACTCTTAGTCCGTTGTATACTATGTATGGCAGTTTTTTTATTAATAATATTTAAAGAAAGTTTTTTTTTTTTTTTATTATAGTATAAATCAGTAACTATTTTAAAGGCATGTCAGGAATATTCCTTTTAAAATCAATGTTGAATGTATCAATCTCTAGACGTCCAGACAGCGAACATCCTAACATTGATTATACTTATATTTTAATAAATTTTGAGTTACTTTTATAGCCAATAAGCACAATCCCCACATTAGCAAATTTTAATTATTTGAATACTTGCAATCATTAGTTAATATTTTCATACACAAAGAATAGTCTACAAATAATATTTAATTTAGAATCATATGAAAATGAATGAAAGTATGACTAGCAAATTGTTATATAGCAAATTTCATTATTATCATACAATATTTTCAAAAGCAATTGCAACTACATTTTCCGAACTAAAAATTTCGCTTGATGCGATTTGTCTCTAGAGCTCTCTCTCTAGTTATAAGTGCACCAATTATAGTCATAGTAAATGTTATTACTTTCTTTTCTCTATAGAAATGAAACTTTAAATGCATGCTTTGTTGCTTTATAATCCGCAAGACTACACACCAATGTAAATTAGTTTGAAAACTTAACACTGGCACACGTTCAAGTGTTACAATCAAAGCAAAGCTGACTTTTAACTACCGTATGGACTTGACTGAAAAGAATTCTTCTTCTTATCACTTGTTCTGCTCTATGAAAAATTCTGCAAAATTTTACGGAAAAGTCGCCATAAATAGCCGAAGAAAAATAGTAAGTCAGTGCAGCGAGATAGGCTTTATCGGGTATGAATAACTTTGCTACTCCATTTAATGGAAATGTTATTTCCCTTAAAGCGGTTGCCATAAATTGCCTTGTCTGTCTGTCTCTCTATCCACTTAATAGATAATTTACGTGTCTATCAGAAAACTCGTTCACATATGCAAGATCCCGATGAGTAACCGAGCAGATAAGAATCGCGACTTTCAAGTTTGCGTTTTTGGATTCACATCTCAATGCGGTAGAATTTTATTTTGCACGGTGTTAAGGTGATTGCTCGGTCCGTAAAGACACAACAGTTATCGATCGGGCACACATCCACTACCTTCCTATTTCTTTCTTTCTTTCTTTTTATACGTTACGCATATAGAGCACATCGCCTGTATGATTGGTCGTTGGTATTGTTGCCACGCAAAGATTTAGTTTCCTTTCCTCCAATTCTCCTAGAGAAGACGGTCCGAAAAATATATCTTTGTATTACAATATTACTGCGGTACATTTATTAGCCAAATACTGAAATACTAAAAGTTAACATGTGTTCATATGAAGGTTTAATTTTTTGTCTTCAAAAGCTTGGCATTAAGGGGGTGTTCAACAAGCAGGCCCCTTTCCATTCAAATTCTCAAAAAACTCATTTAATTCAAAACTCATTCAATTAACATGCAAATGCATTACTTTTCATTGATTTTGTTGGGTAATAATAAAAATGAAAAATTTATTTCATATAATCACTTTTTCAAAGTAAACTTTCATAAAGTGAACGGTCGTAATCCAGTTCATTTTCAGTATGTTTCGTTGTTGAAGAAAAACACCACGAAAATTGTGAGCTACTGGTTGAACACAATTGTGCATGAATGCACAAGATAAGATGACAGACAAGGGGAGAGATATGCTCAGTTTAGCATCGTTATCAGAACTAATTGATACAATAAAAGCCAAGTCCTCTCAAGTCCTTCTAGAACACCCGCGCCAATTTCATTTACCTTTGGCAAAAGTAATGTAGAGTGTAATCAGCTACCAGCTTGGCTGCCATCTTGCCTCATAACTTTTCAATCTACATCAGCAAAAAGCAATCTTTTCCGATATTAACATCTGTTGTGTGTAAATTCCGCAAATTATTGTTTTACAAACTGATATACATTTTTACAAAAAAAAATAAATAAATAAATAAATAAATAAATTCATTAACGCAATTAAAAAAAGTGGTTTGTCATAACAACAAAATTACTTATGCGATTTTAATGTTTAATTTTCACTTTATTATTATGCAAAGTTTCAATGCTTTTCACCCGTTAATCTAGCGATTCTTAATTAGAATTATCCATGACTACGGAATAATGCATGTACACGTCTATCTATCGGACTAATTTGTCAATTAAATTTTATTAAAATTTTTTTTATGAATTTTGACAAGCTAAAATTTTCAAATTGTTCTAAATGTAAATCAAAACTACATACGCACGTACAGCATCGTTCATGGTAATGAAAGGATAGTTTGTTGTCATCTAATAAAATTAATTAGAAAGCAACTTCAGGTTGCTGTCATTTCCAAGTATATAATTGTTCCTCTTAAAAGTAGATGACATTAATAATGTCGAGTTTTCCGATAGAATAATTTGTTAGTAAAACTCTACTCAAAATATACACCTGCAGCGTACAAATCTGTACATGCGTACAAATTTCTAAAAATTATTAAATAAAATTCTTGTTACATTTTGTAACTTGTACATTAGTTGCGGTTTAGTTAAAATCTAAATGAATTTGAACAAAAGATTCCGACTTAAAAGGACAAAAATGTATACAAATTTTGTGACAACAAATTTGAAATCCCTATTAAAATTTAACAAGCTTAAGTTGTATTATTTTTATTTTTATTTTTTTTTTATTTTCCATTATTCAACGTTTTTATGTCATAATCACACAAACACAAAGCATACTTTTATTTGGAATTATATTAAAATATTAAAATTACCGAATAAGTTATTCTTTTTTTCAAAGAATAATGTGTTGACACTTGTGTGACGTAGGTTATTTGTCCCAAAAATATATAAGCATATGTAAATTTATCAACGCTGCCAGAAATGAGGCCTAGCGATGGACCATATTTCGATTTAAGAAACAGCGGAAGGAAAGTTGTGTACCCACCAAGAAATTCGGCAACACCATCGAGCTGTGATGATAGTCTACATAATTGTCCGGTTTGATTCGATATGTAAACAAGTCTTACAATTGCATGACGAAATCTATTTAATTTTCGACCAAGAAGCATCCATCACTGACCGTTGTCTGCCCTATAGCCGAATAGAGAAGAGATACGAGTAACTAGTCGATGCCCGCGAATTCAAATCTCGGTGGGGTAGACAATATATGGTCGTAGCTATAGTAAGCCATAACATTAATCGATATGGGGCCCACCCAGTAGGCTGCTGCCATTTTCTACTTCTTTTTCTTTCCTGCATTTCTTGTTGGCCATCACCGTATTACACTTGAACAAGACATTCTCTATATGATTGGCAATATTTTATATATATAAAAAAAAGGCAAGAGGTTAAGAAAACTGGAAAACGGAGTCATGAACTACAATGCCCGGCAATGTGACCGTTTTATTAAACTTATTGAACTGGTTTGTACCGGGAACATCAATCAATTTCTTAAATCAAGAAAAAATATGCATATGCTTACGGTCGCTTTTGTTAACCTTTGCCGTAAAACAACGCTGCGTCCCAAAAGACAATATTTACATGCTACTATAACAAGAATTTGCGTTAAAAACACATTCGCCCCGAAGCAACTCATTGAATGGTTTGCATGTAAGGAAATTTGGATTTGAAATATTTCTTTTTTTGTAATTTAAGCGACCAATATACATATCTACAATAAATAATCCCATTGACGAAATATGGAATGCAATGCCAACCCATCACCCAGCAGGAAGGTAATGGGATTTTCTTATGCAAATTAAAAATTACCATAAACCTAAACGTTTTGATTTATTTACGCAATTCTTTTCTTTAGAAGCAAACTATATGTCTACAAATTCTCAACCAAAGACTTGCTCGTCGCCCGGGAATCAAATACAGTGCTTTGACTTTAAAACAAATTGTTTAAGAATGAAATAACTTGCATTTGAAATAACCAAGATCATGGAGCTTTATATTCAATTAAATTCAAATTTGAAAATGTTATCGCCGAAGGCATATGCAAACAATAGTTTCCTTTCTAACAAATTGCAGTAAACAGCATGAATTAATGACAACCACTATGTCATGTTAGTCCCATAATATTCTTGAAAACGATTGAAAATATTATATATGTATGTGCAATGTAGTTAGTTACTCTCTATATACAAGGTATATAAATAAGAAACCGAATGGCCATAGCACGACGTGTAAAAGACATGGTAACAATAAGCAGTCGTAATACCAACAGATATCGTAACACAAAACTATTTTTTATTTATTTTTTTTTTTGTTACTGAAGTGGTTAGCTGCGTACCAAATAAAGAGCATTCGCCAATAGAATCTTTTCCTTCCCCGGAACAGATTAAAGAAAGTCGTGTTCATCGCATCGGATCAAATGTAAATCTATTTTGAGAAATCTTTGCGTAAAAATTCATGACTAGATCTGGGCGGACAAATCCACATCGGCTACGAGATCGAATCGCTTTGTCAAGAAGCGCGTATGCTGCGTTTGGTGGGATCAGAACAGTATGGTCTACGTACGAGGTAGTGGCTCTTAAATTCTAACCGAACGAGCAATATATAAAAACATTCAACGAGATCCATCGGCGAAATCGATTCGCCATCCGTTAGCAGCACTCAACATAAAGTGCAATTCCAAGCGGATTACTCATCACACTCGAGTCCTTCCGAGTGCAACTTGCTTACATCAATGGGCCACGGGCTTACTGGGCAGTGCATTATTTTTTACGAATAAATGCGAACATTTCTCAATGACTAACTGGCTTCAAAACAACAGCAACAGTTCTTTTGAGGTTGCCATCCACAAATTATCAGACCGCAGGGAAGAATGTACAGATGGCATGGGGCTATAATGATGTTTTATATAATTTTCATACACTAAATGCGTATTTTCTATGCAAAAATATGCAATTTCATGTACATATGAACATGTATATATATATATATATGCGCGTAATATCGCGTGATATCACTAACAAAAAAAAAAAAAAAAAAATCCTCCATGCTATACAGCCAGGCGAAAAATTGGTTTAATTAAAAATAAATATTTGTGTATGGCGATTTCAATCAAAAACCGCAAATTAATTACCCGACCATAATCCGAGGTTCAATTGAACAGTTGTTTATCCTCAAACTTATTGAATTTGACAATGTTAGGATGTGCGCCAAACACAGCTAAAATAAGCAAATAAGCATTATTCGAAATTGAAATGAACCTAAACACATTTGTGTCGTCTCGTTATTCCTCTATTTCCCCAAAAACATCGATATCCCATTAGTGATTGCACTTTGTTAATGTACTGTGTCTGCAATAGTCACAAGTCTTTTGGTGCATTTATGAGGATATTTGAGTCCAATAAACGGAAATCGTATATATAGTTACGTAATATTGTTGAGTAATACATAGGTTGTACTATTGTTCAATATTGATGCGCACGCGCGTAGTTTGCTCTTTGCAATAGAAGCACAAGATCCAAGAAAAAAAAACAATCCCAAGTAACCATCGTTTTAATTAAATATAAAAATTGCTAAGCCTTACAATGCGTCAATCATTATCGTCTTTGCATCGAAATTCTATATGGATCTAACAAGCAGTTATGTCAGGCATTGCAGGACCTAACTTTTTTTTTACTCATAGATATCATAACTAATTTTTTTCTTCCAGTTTCTTAGGCGAGTTAATTAATGGGCGATTGTTTCCCCTAGTTTCCCAAGCAGACAAAAACTAACCGACTTGGAATTTTTGAGTAAAATAATGTACTCTGTGTATGCACGTTTGTCTAGCGTTAAAAAAATCTTTGATTATTACCAATGAAGGGCATATTAAAATTTCGTGTAACCGTAATATAAAGATTTTCAATACTCGCTTTACTTTACTTTATTTTCACAAATTTTTTTCTCACTTTAATTTTATTATAATTTACGCAAAAGATAGAAATTTTTTTATATTTTTATTTTGATTTTTTTTTTTTTTTTTTTTTTTTTTTAGTTTTATTTAACGTATCTCCTCACTTTAGTGATATTTTTCAAAAATATATTCAACCTTCAACATGCAACATTTCAAATTTGACGTAAACTTGAATGAACGGAATGAAAGGAACACAGTAACCGTTAATTTTGTTTGAATGAAATATTATTCTGTACATTGTTATCAATCTTCATGATTACATGTGCTTGAAAACCTATTAAAGGTTAATTCACATTCGAAGACACATTGTAAATACAGTTGTTGAACGTACTTTAAATCCACTTCTTCTACTCTGCTTTACATTCAATCAAACATATCACTTCAATTTTATATGTCAGGCAGACACCGCGTACGAACGCGTTCACTTTTAACTATAGAACAACACGTACATGTAGAGGACCGAGCTCAACCAGGTATTTAAATGTACTGCAAAATTTTCAGTAAAACCAAAAAATAGAGAATAGCACAGAAAAGCACAAAAGCACCGGTAAATAATTTGTTATCTTGTCGGAAAGCGAAAGAAGTATTATGCGTTTTTAGCATCATCAAGTTCAACAGTGTTTGGCTAACTGAGCTATATCCTGCCAATGATTGTGTTGTTATACTATTTTATTTTAATTTTTTTTTTTTTTTTGTTTTTTCATCATAGAAGAGTATATTCTCAGTACTAAAATCAGGATAATTTAAGAGAATTTTTATTTAGAAAAGAAGAGAACTTTTTGCAATTAACTGAGAGAAAATAACAACAAGTATAGTACATTAAATTGTATTTAAATAAATATTTTCAATATATCTTTTCACGTATAGTGTTTAATGAGGGATAAGCAACCGCCAATTTTTTTGGAATTTTTTACTTTGTTTTTTTTTTTTTTTCTTTTTTTCGTTAATATTTGTATACACTGCCTCAAGTGTAGTTGCTGTGATTAAGTTAGATTTAGTGATTGCGGTTATAAATATTTAATGTACTTATTTAAGCTCATTCATAAAATTCTAATAAGTGATTTGTTGAAGGCAGCATTTAACTTTGAGAATTTTAGAAATTGTTTTAAGAAATGGAACTCAAACTTTAATTAAAAGGTAATTAGCGGAAAAACTACAAAATCATTGTCAGTTTTCAAGGGTAAGTCTCCAAGAAATCGATTAAGAATTATTTAAAGAAAGCTACTTTCCCTTTTCGCACCCCTCGATCAGCAAATCCACTTAATATTCATTAAGACCCTTTTATAATCACAAACAGAAAAAAGTTCGTAAGACTCTGCCCAACACATAGGTTTAGAGTCCGTCGTTAGCTTTAGTAAGATTCACTCTTAACAGCAGTCATTCTACAAGCCATGTACCAACATTCAAAAGTAAATGCATTTTAAAAATGTTCTAAAATTCCCAAGCAAGAAAATTCCCTTATTTTAGAACATTAATTCAAGTTGCGTGCGTTTGCTTGTTTCCGCTCTGAAAATTCCGATGTCAAAAACAATTGAAAAAATTATACAATTCTTATTCTTTGCCACAGAATACAATAATTACAGGATGTTTTTATAGGAACTTACTATTAAGGGGATTGCATATTAAAAACTGGAGCTCTTTGCAAATAAAAACTTACTTTCTGTTAGAATGTTTGTGCCTAAGAGGACCAAAAATTATGATACGTATTCGACCAACTGTCATCATAACGTATTAAAATAAACTTTTCTGTCCTAAAAAACAAAAATTCTTGAATCGGATAACATACAAAAATAGGTATAGCGAAGTTTTTTTTTTATCTTGACATGATTAGACTTTCTTATCCTACAAAAGATGAATTTTCGTGAAAATCTACATATATAGGATAGGGAATAATTGAAGATGGTGCAAATTTGATACAGTTATTACGATTATTGAAAATTAGACCTTTTTGTCTTATGAACTTCAGCTTTCGTTTTATGAAAGGAAGTTCAAAAATTGCGCCAGCTGGACCAAAGTTTTCATAAGAATACCGAAATACTATTGCTTAGGCATTGTGTGAAAATATGCAATTGTTCCACACACACAACCATATTTCAAAGTAGGACTTTATATGGGCAATGATCGAAAAAGTGAACCGATTCCAACCATTTTCAATAGCGGTCGTCCTTGGGTCAATACACATCAGCGTACGAGATTTCATCAAATTATCTCAAAAATCACACACACACACACATTATAAATAAGTAGAAATAATGCTCAGACTATATCGGGCTATAGCTGCTTTTGCTTCTCAAAGACTAAAGGCGAATATTTGCTTGTTTGAGGAAACTAGTAATAGATCAGATATGCAGACAAAGTTCGATTGACTCGGAATCTAATGCAAATCAAAAATGTACGCATACTCTATAAGTTCACCAATAGCTACATAAGCTATAACAAGTTATGACATTTTCCTTTATTCTTTTTTTTTTTTAACTGTATTTTGAAAAAGGTTTCTACCCACTCTTTCTGTATTTTCTTTTTCGATATTGAAATACGATTTTAAATAAAGCTTTAATAGAAACAGACTATAAGTGAGTGATGGTGGTAACTTGAAAATTTCGCAAAACTTTTTTTTTATGATTTTGATTTTTCGTTCAAGCATTCGCCGAAATTAGTGAGAGCCAAACTAATGAAATCCAATTCGTGGAAAATTATAGAAATTGAATATTCATAACTTAACAGCTTTTTTAAAAATAGGAATAAATCATAAAAAATGCGTTAACTTATTTTTGTTGTTGTTTAAAATGTGATAGTTATTATAACTTTTCGCCAGAATTTTGTTCATAAGCATTTTTTTCGAGACTTTGTAATGTAAGTATCGATAGGGAAGATAAACAAAAAAAAAAAGAAGCAAATGGGATAAGCAAATTCCGATTTCAAATAATCAATTTTATCCTTCCGCTGTTTATGTACTTCATGTGCGAAACATTTAACAAGCAGTTAACAATAGTCAATAAGAGAGTGTTATTGATGCCCATCTACTATCTATCCATTATAGTAAATTTTAATGGATTATACAAAATTTCTTTTTTATTACGTCAAAGAGTAAGGCAAAAATCAATATCAATACTTTTTATTGGAACAAATTTAATTTTCTTATTTTTCCATATCTGTAGGTAACACTTTTAGAAGAAAATATATCCATATATAAGGGCATAAAAAATTTTTTGACGATTAAAAGAAAAACAAAAAATTTTCATTTTGCAAATGAATTATAATGCGTAGGAAAATATACGTGCATATAAAGCATTTGCAGGCACGCTCACAACAGTAACGCATAAAGTCAGTAAAAGATTTATGAAAGCAATATACTAAGTGATTATTCTTCTCTTCAGCAATTACGAATTCTTTTTGTTTTCGTTTTTCCCCTTTTTTTTCTTTCTGATGCCTCTCTACAATGACTGTACAGGAATTTAAAACAATTGTTTTTATCTACAACATATCAGTTATATATTTAAACATAAGTTAAATTATTATCGATAAGAAAAAATTGTACATATTTTGAGAAGAACTGCGTCTAGATAGAAGCAAAAAAAAAAAAAGCGTATCAAAAACAGTTAACCAATACGAACATTAAAGTCGGGCAAGGCTGACTATTAGATACGCGATACCACTTGGCATAATACTCTCACTTGTTCTGGTAATAATACGCCAAAAGTTACGCATTATTTTCATGCAAAGGCGTAGTTTTCATGATAGCCCGCATGTTGGAGAAATCCTTTTATGCAAAATGGTATTCAAAATAATAGGCTTACGTGGTCCAAATATGGTAAGGTTGATCCCAATATTCTATTATTTACTAATTTTCACCATAACATATTATATATTATAACTTTTTGTTATAAAAAGATTTAATTTTCCTAGGAAGGGTTGGTTATGTGAGAAAGGGGTTCGAATAATTGCCACAGCCGAACCAAACTTTTCATAACAATTTAGAAAGTCCAAACACTATCACAAAATGCCGTTTGGCGAGAAATATTGAAAATTGCAATTTTTTCCCATATACCGGCGAAAAAGCGAACCAAGCCAAACCGTTTTCAACAGCTTTCGTTCTTAGGTCAAATTACTTCAATGTACGAAACTTCATCAAAATATCTCAAAAATTGCAATCTATAACTAGAATACAAATAAACGCGGGCAAATATCGTACGGATGGACAGACTTAGATCTGTCGGTGTAACAAAAGTTGTGCCCAACTTAAGCCTTTCCGAGTGTTCTGTCCGCAACTAAAACTTAATATATCTTGTACCACCAGTAACGTAGAGAGTATATCTAACAATAACAACACGCACAATATTTCGAGGTTAACAATTTTCAAAACATTTCTTTACTTCGCTTTTGATTTTTGAAAAATCACAAAACATATAGCATACCATAGTTTTCTCTGATTATCACGAATTCACTTGCTGTAGAGATTTTCCTTTTTTGTTTATGTCATTTTTCACACTGTTCGTAACCAATACATCGGTCATTAAATGCCAGGACTACATAAGAAAAAACTTTATTTCTTAACATAGTTTTCAAGCCTGATACATTCAACTGAGGGCATTCCTCATACGTCAATACCTTTGGTCGCAAAAGATCGAAATCTTTCTCCTTTCATCATCCTTTTCGGATTTACAAGCAGAGAATAATGGTTGTGGCCAGAGTCACGGAATGCGGTACGTGTGGCAGCAATTTAAAAGCAATCTACGCAATCTAGTCAGTGTAGTCACCGATTTGCTAAGGCCGACATGGCCCATTTTTAAACATGTAATACCATGAGGAAACGCGGTACCCATGCGTAACTTTTCATCGAAAATAGTTAATACACTGCCCTTTAATGTCTTTAGCGTCCCAGATAACTGTTCTAGCCTGACTTTTCGATGCATGACCACCTCTTTTTTACATTCACTGCGATCAGCATCATCGACGTTTAAAATCAACAACTGACAAATTCCCGTTTTCAACGGAATGCAACTGTCAGAACACTTTCCAACGCAATGCTAAGCTCTACTGGCATTGTCGCTATCAAAAAATTGCTTTATTTTGAAAATAACGAAAATAACTAAGAAAGTAATTAAGAACACTATAACTCGCAAGCAAATACTTGAAATATTATCCCATGCGACTTTTGAGTTCTGGCACTTAGAGAGGCGAGATTCACTTGTTATTCCTTGAAATTATTGATCGATATGCTATGTTTTTCTATATCATCAAAAAGACAAGCTAAATAAAAACTCATTCAAGCCAGCAATACAAATAATGTTCATACACAATAACGGAAGCTTAATTCGACTGAAGGACTGAAAACACACAAATGATTAAAGCAAAAGAAACCTTAAGTAACAAGAGTTTACTTACACTTCAATTAACATCACTAATTAATTTTTTACAAATTCCAGAAAAAAGTAAGAAAATATCTTTCCCTTTACTTGCCGATAAAGGCACACGCAGATCCTTTTTCAAACATATATGTTTATTTTTTCTAATAAACTATTCGTTTATTTGCCTAGCAAGCAACTTTTTG